ACATGAGAAGTTTGCATCAACATGACCTGACCCCCAATCGAATGGGAGAAAATATTTGCACGCCATACATCCAATAAGATATAGTATCCAAAATATACAAAGAACTCATAAAACTTGACAGTGTAATGAGGAAAAAAAAAACTAGTCTGATTGAAAAGTAGACAGAGGATCTAAATAGCTACTTCTGCAATGAAGGCAGACATAGATGGCCAAGGAGCATGTGAAAAGATGGTCATTATCTCTTATAATAAGGGAAAAGCAAATCAACCAGCACTGAGATAGTGCCACAGACATGTGAGGTTGGCTATGATCCAAAGATAGAAACAACACATTGGGGAGGATGCAGAGAGAAGGCAACCTTGTACACTGGGGTTGTAAATTGGTAGCACCATTATGGAAAGAAATATGGGGATCTCTCAGAAAAGTAAAAATAGAAATTCCATGAAATCAAATTATCCCTCTTCTGAGTATTTACCTCCCCAAAAATATACTTATTTGAAGAGATATATGCACCCCTTATTTATTTCAGCACTATTTACATAGTGCCAAGTACTTTATACAAACTAAGTGTCCATCGTTGAATGAATGAATAAATAAGATTTGGTTTGTTTCTACAATGGAATACTATTCTGCTATAAAAAAGATTAAATGATGTCATTTTCAATAACATGGGTGAAACTAGAGGGAATTTATGCTTAGAGAATTAAGCCAGAGAGAGAAAGAAAGAAACACCACATGACTTCACACATATGTGGTATATAGAAAAAAAAATAAACGGGTTAACTGGTGAGAACAAAAATAAACGTTTGGGCTATAAGAATAATTAGTGATTATCAGAAGAGAAAAGGGGAAAGGGGACAATGAGGCCTAAGGACAGAGTTAGCCTTTTAGTGGTATATTTAATATTTAATATAGACAACTTTCAGGGATATACTTAATGCAACATAGACATATATAGATTTTCAAGGATGCACACCTAAAACTTATGTAATGATATAATGCAGTGTTACTTCAATTTTTAAAAAGTATAAAATAAGACAGACTAATAAACTTTATCTAACACAGAAGTCCACTAATTGGTTCCTGACTCCATATTATAGGAATCTCTATTTGTCAAGTTTTATGTGAGGTTAAAAAAAATCCACAGTTGTGTGAAAAATCTGGTAAAACTTTCATCCCTTTTCCAACTATATGTCCATGTGAGGACCGACTTCTGTCATATTCTTCAAACAAAACAGCATATCAAAACTAACTAAATGCAGAAGCAAATGGGAAAGTCCAGCTATCTTTTATTAAGCCAGACATTAAAGAGATTTGCAAAAATGTAAAACAATACATTTTTCTAAATTCGGAAAAATAGTTATTATCATTAAACTATGTTACTTATGCTAACATGTTAGAGACATCACTGCTGTTTTTAATGAGTTTATAATGCCTGTGTTTATTTCTTTTTAAAGGAGAGTCAAGGAGGTGAATGTTCACCATATCTTCAGATCCTAAACTAAGATACCTTCCTATGTTAGGATATTGAGTTACAACCAACATATAAAACTCTCTGAGAAGAACAGATTCATGGATTGAAAGTAGGCAGCTTTGGGTCACATGTAAGGAGTAGAGGTGTTCTTTGGACTGACCTTACATGTGTGTGTTTGCTAAGAGGTGAATACCCAGAGCTCTGTCTCTTTTCCTGCATTGCATGGGGCCAGTCTTCCCAGTCAGTCAGGTCAATGGAATAGGGTTTATTTTTCCCCTAAAATTTAGAGTCCAGCCAAAGGATTTATTAATGTTGGTCAGACATTGACACTGCATACCGGGGCTCATTTGAACACTTGACAGGCTGGATTCCAGAAGTCTAATTAGAAAGGTGGGCGAAGCACTAGATTTCCTATCAGTAGCTGACGCCATGTTGGTTCACCACCTGTTGCTCTGACAACAAACCCTTAACTTGTTCATGCTGTAGAGAAATAACCCAAGTGTCAGAGCAATAAGGAAGTTATTTTCCCTCTGCTGACTTCAACGCCAAACATGGACACATTAACTCCGACATTGAGAGGCCCTCAATTCAGCTCCCCAACTTAACTCTATGACATCAAAGAATTGTCACTATTCACAGCATTGTGTTATTGGATTTGATTAAAATGGGAGACATCCAGGGTAGTGTTTGATTGCCAGCTAGTGGTGGGTACTGAGCTGTGTGTTGGAGCCCTGCTAAACCTACCGTAGGCAGGGTGCTAGGCCCCCCCAACAGAACTCCCACTCTCTGCCTTCCTCTACACTGACAGTGCAGTTCAGGAACAGTCCGTAACTTTCCCATATGTGCCAGGCACTCTGCTGAGCACTGAGGTAGAGAGACAATGGGAGTGAGATTCCTGCTGCCCAGACACTGCCATTCCAACACTGGTGAACATTCTTGCACTAAGGTCCGAGGTGTGCAATGTCAAAAGTATGTGGAAGGAAGGCGACAACCCAGAGGTATGAGAAATTGTCTGAGGGGGTCCAGGAAGAGGTTGAGAGAAGCTGACATAGAAGCCAGGTTTTGAGGGATGAAGAGGCATTCCAAAGGGAACAGGACAGAGCCCACAAAGGATAAGCCAGCAACTTGCCAGCCAAGGAGCAGAAGCACAGGGCTTCGGGCCCTGAGGGATTGCAGGCACTCAGAGCACAGGAACAGCTACAAGCTCTGCTATCTATGCAGCAGCTTCTGGGTCTCTGGGCTTTCTGGCTCAGCTTTCTGGTCCTAGTTCTGGCCTCTAGACCCTGGCCTCAGTGACATGTCGGAGTAGACTGGCCTCAGTGACATGTCAGAGTAGACTGGCCTCAGTGACATGTCGGAGTAGACTGGCCTCAGTGACATGTCGGAGTAGACTCTTGGGCCTGATACACTCGATGACCCACAACAACGAGTGCAAGAAAGACATGCCTCCTGATCGGTGGCACCCTAAAGGCTAGGCCTGCCCAGCCTTCCCGTGGGGGAGCAGACCCCAGCGAGGATCTGCAAGTTGTCTGATGGCACTAGAATCAAACTAGCAGTGGGAGAAGGGAAGCGGCAGGAGACAGTCTCACGCCTGTTAGAGTCTTTGTGTGTCCTGCAGACATACGGGGCCTAGCAGGGGCAGCAGCTTCTGACGTGCCTTCCTGGAGTGATGCCACTGGTGACAGGGTGTACTGGCGGCACAGGGCCAATCAGCACGGGAGGTAGATGAGACTTGAGGAGAGAAAGCCAGGCTTCCAAGCCCCTTGTGGCTAGACCTCCGTGGAGGCAGGTGCAGGACAGAACTGGGGTCCCTCTTACTCATCCTTGTAGCTGTACAGCCCCTCCACCAGGGTTTGGATTCTGACGTTTGAAGGCTTCCTCCTGCTCTCATTATCATAATTGTTCCCTTCCCCCTCCTCCCACCCTCTTCTCCCTTTTCCCTGTGCCCCTCTCTGGAACACCCAAGAACATTATGCCTCGCCGTCTACTTCCAACTCAAACCTCCCTGATAGTAGAAAATGGAAAAGGAAAACAAACTAAACTATGAAAACACGAACTGAAGAATAATCAGCACATGCCTGTGAGAAGCAGGCATGTCCCTGCTGGGAACTGCAAGGGCGGCCAGCCAGCTAGAAGAGTCCAGGCCTTGCCCCTTAGAACAGAACCCCCGTGGTGAGGAGCCCGACCAAAGGTTTGGTCTTTCCCCAGTCTGGCAGTTCCGGGGCGCTCTACAAATATGAAAAACAACAAAGATTCCTTCACCTTTGCAGAAGCCTGCAGGAGGAGACCACAGCCCTCCCCAATGACTGCCCAGATTTTCGCTGGGTCTTGAGAGCCACCCCACGGTACCACGCTCCCGCACGCACATTCTGGCCTTCCTTGTGACCATCGGCCACCTTCAGCATGCCAGGAACTATCTGCAGGTCACAGCGGCCTGTTTACAGACATCTAGAATTCCCAGGCACTTTCAGGACAAGAGACTCGGGATGCTTCCAAGGGGCAGCAACATCTCTCTAAGAGAAGCCATTCCCCAGATCTATTTATGTCAATGTAAACACTTGCCAGGGCAACAAGCCGTGTGCGCATGTGCCAGACCTGCTGGCCCTGGAGAGTCACATGTCATAACAGTGGAAAGTACATACGCAACTATTCTTAGCCCTGGAATGTATACACTGTCTCCCTGCCCAGCAGTTCTTTCACAAAGCTCTAGAAAACTGTGAAAGTGCCTTCAGCATAAACAAATCCAGAACTCTCCCAGGACCAATCTTTTGCCAACTGAAGGAAAGGACTGGGTTTATGGTTTCACTCAGAGCTAGAGGTGAAAACTCTCTGGGGGACCAGCCGGACAGGCATCGGGGGATGTCACGGCAGCAAAACAAGGTAACTACCCCTAATGTTTCATTCTTCTGCAGGGACACTGCCGGTGTGTTCCAGTTAGCCGTGTCCAGAGTACTTTTTGGTCTCTGCTTTCTATTTATCCCAAATTCAAAACAAAACCCAAAAGGCTCCATGAAGTCATGTTAAAAAAGAAACCATTGCAACGGTCCTTTTTCATCCCTTCTCTCTGTCTAGCTCCCAGAGGGTCACGCCCCCAGAACAACATCCTTGGGGAATGACTAACACCCAGAAAGATGCTTAGATGAGTTTCTGAATTACAGAGAAGCCGAGAATCTGGAGATAAGCTCCCAGACTAGGGTTCGTTAATGCATGGACTATGTTCTTGATTCAGACTATGCCAGCCCATGATTATCAATTAATTCCAGCAACTGTGGCTTTTCTTTTTTTGCTTATTTCTCAGTCGATGTGAAGATGCTATTCGCATGCTCCCTTTGAGAGCAATCAAAGCCAACGTGAGGTGTCAGCTTTGCTACCTGGGACACAGGTGGTCTCCCGTCTCTACCTTCACTAAGCCATATTCTTGGTGACACCCACTAGCCCCTTGGTGAGTGGACACTGAGACTTCAGACGTGGGGCCGCCATAGCTGAGCTCAGGGTTCCCTCTAGCAGGCCTCCCCCTCTACACAGGATGGACCAGCACACACCAGACGGGCTACTCTTCAAAGACCATGACTTCTCTTGTGACTTGCTGAAGCAGCTCAATGATTTCAGACAAAATGGAGTCCTGACTGACGTGCGCCTCTGTGTGGGAGCCTGGGAGGTCCCCTGCCACCGAAATGTGCTGGCCTCCAGCAGCCCCTACTTCAGGGCCATGTTCTGCAGCAACTTCCGGGAGAGCAGAGAGGCCAAAGTCCACCTGAAAGGCATCGACTCTGAGACCCTGGACCAAATGGTCCTGTATGTGTACACTGGGGAGGTGCATATCACAGCCCAGAACGTCCTGCCCCTGATGGAGGCAGCCTCCATGTTCCAGTACCCCAAGCTGTTTGAGGCCTGCTCCTCATACCTCCAGGGACAACTGGCCCCCAGCAACTGCCTGGGCATGATCCGACTCTCTGAAATCTTAAGCTGTGAGACCCTCAAGAAGAAAGCCAGGCAGGTGGCCCTGACATATTTTCCAGAGGTGGCTGCATCAGCCGACCTGAAGGAGCTCTGTGCCTTGGAGCTGAGGGACTACCTTGGAGATGACGGGCTGTGTGGGGAGGAGGAGAAGGTGTTTGAGGCCCTCATGGTGTGGGTCAAGCATGACCTCCAGACCCGGAGACGATACATGCAGGAACTGTTCAAGCAGGTCCGCCTTCAGTACATCCACCCGGCCTTCTTCCACCACTTCATCGCCAATGATGTCCTCCTCCAGTCCTCACCTTCGTGCCAGACCATCCTGGAGACAGCCAAGAGGCAGATGTTTTCCTTGTATGGCACCACCAGTGCCCCAGACCTCCACTCTCCGTTGCACGCCCCACCAAGGAATTCTTACCAAGACTTCCTCATCCTCTTAGGTGGCAGGAAGGACAACCAGCAGACCACCAGGGATGTTCTGATCTACAGTGGACAGACCGGGCAATGGCAACGCCTCACCAAACTCCCCATCCGGTTGTACAAGGCCACAGCTGTCGCCCTGCACCGCAGCATCTATGTGCTGGGGGGCATGGATGTGGGCACTGGGAAGAACACAGCAAGCCACAGCGTCTATGTCTTCTCCCTGAAGCTCAACCAGTGGAGCTTGGTGCAGCCCATGCTGGCAGCCCGCTACTCCCACAGAAGCATTGCCCATAAGAACTTCATCTTCTCCATCGGAGGCATTGGAGAAGGGCAGGAGGTCATGGGCTCCATGGAGCGGTACGACAGTGTCCGCGACATCTGGGAGAGAATGGCCAGCATGCCGGTGGGGGTCCTCCACCCTGCTGTGGCCGTGAAAGACCAAAGACTCTACCTCTTTGGGGGAGAGGACATCATGCAGAATCCCGTACGCCTTATTCAGGTAAAGACCTGGCCTTCCCCAGCATGTGACTGTACGAGTATGTGCATCACATACACACATGTGCAGATATACGTCCTCATTGCATATGTGCCGTGCACACATATGTGCGTATATAAACATAGCTATGTGGGTGCACATGAGCCCGGGTGCTATGCATACAAGCATACGGTGTAGTGTGCGTGTGCATACTTACACATACACACATGTACAGATGCAAATATGCCTATAGAGATATACACAGTCTACAATACATGCACACGATATACACATTTGTGTGTGTGTGTGCTAAATGCACACATATGTACATCCATACACAAATGCATTTGTATACATGGGTGCAGACGTCTATAAAAACATTCATACATGCACATACTTCTGCCTACATCACTAAGGCCTTAAAAGAGGATTGTCCAACATTGGTCCACAGTCTGTTACCAAAGCCCTTGGAATCCAACTTCAAAGCTACTGGATCGAATCTCTTCATATGGGGTCCTGACATTACAGTTCACAAAGTCCCCCAGACATTCTAAGGCACAGCCTAGTTGGGGATCCCCTGTCTTAAAAGATAAGTAGAGGTTAATTTTACTAAGAAGCTCGCTGATAAATGTAATTAATAAAAACCAAAATATCAGAGTATGAAGAGTTTTCCAACATTACTCGAGTGCTAATCTCCATAGTTTACCCAATAATAGGAAAGTTGGACAACAAGCCTATCTGTAGGATAAACTAGGAAACCCCTGCGGTTTGCTTTGTTGCACTGGTAAGCTCCCTCACCCTCTTTGCAAGTTCCCTCAAGCAGTTTACAAAGCAATTGCACTTCAGATAATGAAGAGAAGGGTGTTTGGATGGGGGGGAGGCTTGGGGGGGCACAAAAACCTGCATACAGGGAGTCAGGGAACTTTGGAGGGAGCTAGGTGAAGCTGACTGGAAGCTGACTTGAGCAGAGAGGCAGGAGAAGAGCAGGCAGGTGAGGATGAAGATTAAAGAGGAGAGAGAACCCTAGGGTGGACAGAAGGGTCTGATGTGGACAGAGAAGGGCAACGATGGGTGGAAGCTTCTCCGAGGCCGCAAATCTCCCACCTGAGTCTGCGGCCCCAGGCTTCAGTGAGGAAGGAGTAGTGTTCCTGGTTAGGGTACCAGTGGTGCAAAGGGGCCCAGAAAGCGGCCCAGCCCATAGCTAGGAGGAACTAAAAACATGAAAGAGCAAGTACTTGCAACATGGAGCAAGACGGGGGAGTGTGAGGGAGCACATGAAGGGGGCTCAGGGTGGGGATAGGGGCTGGTCCCCACATAATCACCATCAGTCCCTTTTCAAGCTACCCTGAGCAACTCACCCGCCCCACCGCCACCACCCCCTTGCTGCCCCTGAGCCCCTCCTGGAGAAATTCTGGAACATGCTTGTGAGATGGATGTTTCTGGAAATGAGACTGATCTGGCAGGGCTTTTGAGAACTTACAAAGAAACTGGCTTAACAGTAGAGGATGTTATTAAAAGATTTTTCAGGATGGATGAAGCATTCAAGTGAGCGTTTTTAGGAGTTCCATCCAGACACCTTGTGGAGAAGGGATCAAAGAAGGCCTTTATGAAGGAAGATGGAGGCAGGTGGGTGGCGGTAGTGGGGGCTAGTTGGTGTTGGTGGCCACGGAGAAAGGGATGAACTCAGATGTAATTGTTCTCTGGTGTTTTTCTTCTTGCTTTCACTTCCCAGCCCTCCTGGCCTATTAGACAGGTTCTGAGTCTGCTCCAAATCCCACTCACTTACCTGAGCCCATAAAGACGTGTTCAGCTCCCTCCACGCTCTGGCCACACAGAGCAGATGTCAGGAAGCACTTCCATGAAAAGCTAGCGCCCCTCCCTCTTTTTAAACTAATTTTCAAAATAAAACTAACAAATGTGCAGATGATTTCACAGTACAAAGTTGTTAGCAACATCTTAAGAATAAATACAAAGCTCAAAACAGCTTGTTAGCTAGCCTATCAAGAAATGCAGCCTATCAAGTACAATCCAACAAGACCCTGGCAAGACCAAAAAACACATCAATACTATCATGTGAGTGAGGCTTTTCCACTCCAGTGAAAAAGGGGAGAAGTACTCACTTGGAAACTTTTCCTGCCCACCTAGCATTAGCTTCAAAATGGGGGTTTTACTCCCTCAGATAGTTTACTAGGAACACTCAGGGTCCCTGGAAAGGGGTAGGTTGGATTTTCAGACCTAGGCTCAGAGTTTCTTCATCTTCCTGCATGTGTTGTTTCGAGAACCGTGCTGCAGTCAGAATGCGGGCTAAGGCGGGTCTGTCATAGTCTACCTGTTTTTGAAAGGCACTGAGTAAGGATTCACCATCACAGAGAATCATTTCCTCCACTGGCCAAGGGCCAGGATCCTTCGTTATCCTTGCTTCAGTCTCTCTGCGGGGGAGGGTGGCGGGGGAGTTCTGGGGATGTGGAGTGAATGTTGAATCTGGCTTTGAAACAATAGCCAAAGCCTAAAGAAACCAGCTACTCACACAGAGAAATGTCATTGTTTTTCCTCCAAGGATCCCACTTTCCCCAGATTATCACCTGGGTCCTTCCACAAAGCTTGACAGCCAGGTGAGTGTCCCGTCTCCAGAACTTGGCCCCCTCTATGCTTCAGGGTTAGAGGACTAAGCCCTCATGAGGTCTCCAGCCTCAAAGTCTCCAGCAAGAAAAAAACCACACATCCATGGTCCCAGCAGAGCTTTATGGGCTTAGGCAAATGAGTGGGATTTGGAGCAGACTCAGAATCTGTCTAGAAGGCCAGGAAAGAGTAAAAAATATGGGCTGGCGAAATGAGTCCAGCGTGCATGGTTAAGAGCATGACTCTGAGCTCAGTCAGCTCAGTTCCTCTACTCACTCCAGTTGTGTGACTTTGGGCACATCCCTTAACTTCTCTGAGCCTCGTTGATCCAATCTGAAAAATGAGAGGAAATAATAGTCCCTATTTATGGGCTGGCTATAATGATCAAATTTGACTAAATGATCAAAATTAATGCTGGCAAGTATAATTTAGATAGAATTGGAGTTTCCAGTAAAGAATGCTACTCTGCTTTCTCTGCCAGCAAATGTTTTTGTCCCTTCTCATCTTGTGGGAGATCCATCCTATGGCTCTTGAGCTAACTTTTTTCCAGTAATAACCTAATTTATATTTGCTATGCCGAGTTTCAGCTGAGGAGGTGACCGTGTCTGGGCATTACGACTTCTATTCTGAGCCTGCAAAGGACCTTTACTTCTTCCTTCTTTTTCTCAAGCTTCTTTTTTTCTAGGATTCTAAGGACTTTCAAACTTACCCTATTCAAACGCCATCCTCACTTAGCCCCCCAAATTTGTTCTTGGCTTAGGGATTCTTCCAGATGCATTGAAACATTCAGAATTTTAAACATGACCCACAAATAGAAATGATGGAAAAATCATAGGTTTTACATGCGGCTCCATTTCTCATGACAAATCAGGAAACATACTCCCAAGCATAACTTCTTGGTCCTTCTATGGAAACAGCTACTGATCTCATGAGGTCACAAAAACATTGGTTTCTTTTCTTTTTTTTTTTTAAGATTTACTTATTATGCATGCAGAACTGGGGTACTGGCCAGAGGTGCAGGGGCAGTGAGAAGATTCACTAGAGACAGAGCTGGGAGCAGAACAGGACAACTGATGAAGTATACTGCTGAGGGGAGCAGTGGGCGGGACAGGAAAGGTCTGTCATGCCATGTGGGTCACCCCTCTGTCTGGAGGTTGAACTTGTGAACTCGTGCTGAAGCAGCTGCGGCCAGTTTCACAGGGCTACGCTTTAACCAGTTGTGCCACCGGGGAGAATCCAGAAATATAGCTTTCTAGTAAATCTTTTCTTTCTATCATTTAATTTTGTTTATCGATAGTAATATCTACATTTTTACAACTGGTAAAAAAAAAAATCACTCCTATTTTGCCCTCTCAACCACTCCTTCTACCTTTTGGGAAAATGCATCACTTTAAAAGGGGGTGCCATGACGATACTTCTCTGCCAGGTTTACCACATTTCCAGAAACACGTGGTTCAAAATGGAGACGAGAATGATCAAGAACGTTTGTGCGCCTGCAGTGGTGCTCGGGGAGCGGATTGTCATCGTGGGAGGTGAGTTGGAACAGGGATCGCTGGCTGGACACAAACTTGGCATCTCTCATGGAAAAAGGGTCACTCGTAGTCAGATGTTGTTCCAGGAGACAGGCTTTTTAAAAGCACACCCAGCCATCCCCAGGAGTGTGGATGACTTGACAATTTCTTTTCTCATCCAGAAGTTTCTCCAGGCCTTTATCTGTTCATCAAGAATGAATTAATACCTATCTCACAGACTGTGATAATAAAATGTGCTCCTTATCCAAAGCAATTAGCCCCATCCCAAGCACACAGCAAATACCCAAAAACTGTCTGCTGTTACTCAGATTGTTAGCGAGTAGTAGGTCATTTCTCTGTCACAGCTGTAAAGTGTCATGTTTAAGGGGGCTGCTTTGGAGATCAGGTAGATATGGGTTCCAACCCTGCTGTGACGCTAACTGACTGCATGCCCCAGGTCTCTCCTGCCTCACTTGGGTCATCTGTAGAATGGAGATTCTGAAGGGACCCATGGGGTCTGGCTGCTGCCAGGAGCCAGGTCCGAGCCACCCCTTCCTTGTGTTGACAGATGAAAAAGCCGGTGGGGCTGAGAAAGCCGCTGGAAGCTTTGCGACAAGGGCCCGCAAGGGACCGTGACCTGGGTTCAGGATGCAGCGCCCAGAATCAGACAGACCAGAGTTAGGGTCCTCACCATCACTCTGCCATAGCCTAGGCCCAGGGCGCCCCGACTGCAGCCCTCCAGGGCCCTGTGAGTGCTCTGACCTCGCTGCCATGCCCTTGCTTCACAGGCTACACCCGGCGGATTCTTGCTTATGACCCTCAGTCCAACAAGTTCGCCAAGTGCGCAGACATGAAAGACCGGAGGATGCACCACGGGGCCGCGGTCATGGGCAACAAGCTGTATGTGACTGGCGGCCGGCGGCTGACGACCAGCTGCACCATCGAGGACTCGGCCGCCTTTGACTGCTACGACCCCCAGACGGACACCTGGACCTCCCAGGGGCAGCTGCCCCACCAGCTCTTCGACCACGCCTGCCTCAGTCTCCAGTGCATACCCTACACTGGCCCCTGAGGGCCACGGAACCACCCTCTCAGTCAAGGAACTGCTGGAAATGACAGAAACCCAACTCAAGGGGCTCAACCAGGAAAGGATGCGGGGAGTCTGAGTCCCTGAGCCTGGCGGCCAGGGCCGGAGAAACAGACCTGCGATTGGCAGAACAATAGAACAGTGTGTGTGTGTGTGTGTGTGTGTGTGTGTGTGTGTGTGTGTGTGTGTGTCCCTCCTCTGTCTCCCTCACTCCCTCCATCCCTATGTATGTCTCCTCAGGCTTCTCTTTCTCTGTTTTCCTCTCTCCCCACCTCTCCCTCCCCCACCTCCACTCCTTCCTTCCTCACTCCCTCTCCTCCTCCATCGCCTCCCTTCTCTCCTCCCCTCTCCTCTTCTCACCGCCCCCTTCCCATCCCCCCTCTACCTGCTCTCTCCTTCTCTACCTCATCTCTATTAGGTTTCGTGCTACAAAAGAGCTTCTTTATCCGCAATGTGAGGACAAAGACAACCGGCAAACCCAGACTCACGTTCTCCAGCTTTGTACCTGCAGGAGAGAGCGCTACCATGCCCCTCTGTTAACCTAAGTAGCGGTGCTGACTGGCCCATTTGAATGTCAGGCCTACTCCTGGGTCAGCCACTGTCTCTAGCTACTGGCCAGTACTGGATCGTGCCCCTACGGGCAGAGGGGGGTTGGCTACGGTCATTAATGGGATAGAAGCATCACCGGAAGGATGAAATCCTGGGCTGACAAGAGCCACGCCTGCCTGAACACCAGGGGAATCCAGAATGCAAACAAACGGGTCCCCGAAGCACCTGGTCATGGTCACGGGGACAAGGTGAGGCACCGGGTGGGACCGCGCGCTAGCTCGCTATGTCCGCGGATGGCGAGCACGGAAACTCCAGAAATGCATGAGCATTTCGTATCTCGTGTGTGCAAAACTGTCTGCACGGCCAGAATAAAGCTTGTTTCCGGTGCCAAGTATTGTTTTTCTCCAGCCTCTGGGGAGCTATAACCCTGCAGAATTAAACAGAATTTTCATTTTGGTGCATGTTACGAGAATAGCTCTTCTGAGGAAAGCCAGCACGTGCCTCCGCGACTCAGTGATCACTGCCCCTCTGAGTCCTCCTTGGCCCCTTGAGCCTCCCTCTCTGGCTCAGTTCCCAGCTGGGGGATAATCAGAAGCAGGTGCATGTTACAATCACCTGGGAAGGTTTTTGGAAGTGGGGTGAATCCCATTCAAGACAGATGGCTGGGCGTCTTGAGGTGGGTCCCAGGGCACTATTTCGGCAAAACACCCCAAAGACACTGCAATGCACAGTCAAAGCTGGAATCACTGCCCTGCCCCGCTGTGGGCCCGACAGGTACCTGTCCCATTCCCTCCCTACCTGGCCAGCCCTGACCCACCCAGCAGGATGGGTCAAGTCCTCTCCCCCTCATGGAAGCACCTGGAATGAGTCTTGCTCACCACAGTACCCCAGACTGAAACCTTCCTCCCCACCAGGTGTCTAGTTCCATGCTCTGGACTCTCTCTTTATCCTAGTTTGTATTTTTCTGTGCTTCAGTTCCTGCTATTGGGTGTGAAGCTCTGTCCTGCTTCCCTGACACCCTGACTACAAGACCATGCCCAAAAGGCCTAGATGGCCTTGGCCTAGAAGCTGTCCCCTTAGCTGTTGGCCAGTCTCTGGCCCCAACCTATTTCCTCTGAAGCTTTCTATTCAAGCTCTCAGTCCCACCTCTCCCTGAAATGGTAGCCAGTGGCACCCACAGCACCAAAAACTGGCAGTTAACCGTCACTTCCTATTGTGTGCGACTGAATAGCCACAGACCAACACCCTCCCGCCATCTTGAAGTGGCTTCCTCAACCACTTCCGGGACACCCCTCTCTCTTGCTTCCCTTCTTACTCCTGAAGTTCGTTATTATTGTATTAGTTATTGTATATAATTCATTCCTGGCTCCTGGTATTCCTAGTAAATGGTGACCCTATTAAATTAGTCCTCTGTTGTACTTCACCCACTAGGTGAGTGAACTCATCCAGCACAAGACTTTAAATACTGCCCAGACACTGATGACTTTCAGTTTTTTCCAGTTCCAGACTCCAGCTTGCTCTATATCATCACTTCCATGATAAGTAGGAAACTCCTGTTAGACATATTTAAGAAAGACCATTCTTCCTTCATCAAGTCAATGTCTCTCATGGATTCCCCCAACCTGGGAAAGGACAGTACCTGTCTCTTGGTTTCTTAGACCCAAAGCCTCCTACTGTTCTTCATTCTCCTCTTTCTTTCTCTCAAACCCCCCTCCACCTGTTCCAAACACCCCCCAGCACCCAGCCACATCTTTTTACCCACAGCTCTAATGCCAGTCCAAGCCACCACCTTACTTTACCTGAACTATTACAACTGTTTCTTCTCTGATGTCTCTGCTTCTACCTTTGGCCCCTAAATTTCTTTTCAACACAGCAGACTGTGTCATCTTTTACAGACATAAAAGCAAGTCAAATAGATCATTCTAAACCCTCCATTCTTTAATATTTTTAATATATTTTCTTTTTTTGTATATATTTTACATCAGATGTATTCCCCCATAGAATTTCCACCACCAGTTCACCTGTGAACTGTCACCTTAGTTCCCTGTGCTCTTCCCACCATGTTTCGTACTCTTTTCCTAACCCATCCCCTGAAGAATGTCTCTGATTTATAGTTATCTGATTGTTTTTATTTTGTTTTGTTGTATTTTTTTTAATGTTGTTATTTTTTCCCTGATCCCTAATTTGGTTCCCCTATATTCCTCCTATAACTGAAACCATCTGATATTTTTCTTTTTCTTTCTGTTGTATTTCACTGAGCATAATCTCTTCTAGTACCATCCATGTTGCAACAAATGGCATTAGATTATCTTTTTCATGACTGAGTAGTATTCCATCGTGTGTATGTACATCTTCGTAATCCAATCATCTATTTTGTAAAACCCTCCATTCCAAACCTTTCCAATGATGTCTTCAATATAAGAAAAGATACCAAGGTCACCCCACCCCTCTGCCCTGCTTCCTGCACTCCCAGCTGATGCCTTCCTCTCCATTTAGCTCTCTAGGTCCATGTTCTGGGCTTTTCCTTTTACCTCCATCCTTATCTACTGCTTTCTCTCCCCCCCCCCACACCCCCTGCCTCCTTGCTGTCACTCAGTGTTAACCACTTCACATGTGCTGTGTCCTCCACCTGAAAACACCCCTGGATATCACACCTACATGGTTCACTCCCTCAGGCCTCTGCTAAGAGATGCCTTCCTGGAAGGCCTCCCTTTCCCTGTCCATCAACAGATCCCATCAGCAACATCCCTGAAATAGACCACAAGCCCCTCCAGTTCCCCTGTCTTCGTTCCTGACTCTCCAGGGACAAGACACCCCTGTTCCCGCACAGCCTCCAGACCCACTGCCCTCTCTCCTGCCTGGGTCATCCTCAGCCCCCCCAGGGAAGCCATGCAAAGCACAGACCTGGTCTTGTTACTCTCCTGTTTGAAATGACATCAGGGTTTCTGAGAGACCTTTAAAAAGGTCATTATGGGTTGGGTCCCTTAGCTTCTAGACTCTTCTACCATCTGGGCCCTGGCCTCCTCTTCTGCCACTTCCCCACCCCCAAGGCTACCCTGCTCTGGACTACTCTATTTTGCTCACTGCACTCTTGGGGCCTCTGCCTGATAGCTGCCTCTCACCTCCTCCCCTGTCAAGTACACTTCTCTCTCATTTCTCGTGGACTCCACTGGTATAATATCTAGAGAGCCTACCTAGCACTCTAGGCAAAAGCCACCACACCTGCCCATTCACAGACAACTGGCTCCAGAAGTTGGGGTTTCTCCACCATGTAGAATACTATTCATTTGAAAGGAAGATGAAACGCTGTCATTTACAGCAAGATGGAAAGTGTTTGGGGGAAAGAGGTGTAGTAAAGAGTCAGAAGGACACAGGCATGCACCGGCCATTTTCATAGTGGACAAGTTGACAAAGCAAAATACTTACGGAAACGAGCAGACACTAAATAAATGAAGTTTGTGAGGTTAAGTGGGAGGGGGAGAAGGAACAGGACAAAGGGGATACAGTGGGGTGGTACTGGGAAATATATAAATGCATACATACAAAACAAGAAATACATGGCAGATAGACAGAGAGAGAGGAAGCGACAGATCGCTACACCAAGGAGCACTTCCAAGCATCCCTCACCCCAGTCTGGGTCAGCTGGCCTATTTAATTGTCCCCTACACATTCCCCTTGAGATCTCCCTTTTGTTTGTAATTATCTGACAACTGTCCAGGCTCCTGTGTCCTGTTCTCGGCCAGCCCATACTGGCTCCCTGTCAGCCTCCTGTACTGCTGAGCTGCTATAGATTAGAGAAGCAGTGAGTGAGGACAAAGGGGCCTCCATCCTCACTCAGAGGCATGGACAGGCCCTGTGCAGCCCCCACCCTCTGCTGAGGCACGGGCCCTTCCCTTCCCCACCCTGAACTGAGTCGGATGGAGAGGGAAGTGGCCTGTTCTGCTTGGGCGAAGGGCCATGTCTACAGGGCCCTATTTGCCTGGGAGTCTCGTCACTGATGAGCTCCGTCTGCAACCTCCAGAAGCCCTTCTGTTAGAGATTGGCTAGTGCCTGTATTTCTTTTCCCTTTGTCTCAGCCCAATATTTAATAAGTTGCCAGAATTTGTGGCTCCCAGAACTTGCCTGAGTCCCCCTGGGGTACAAGAGAACCATGTGAATTGCCCCCTGGGGTTTATAAAGAAAGATGGCGCCAGGGCCAAACGTACATGGACACGCATGGCAGGACGCCCGGGGCAGTCACCTCGCACAGCTAGCCAAGCCCTAGGACGGAATGGGTTGCCGAATGGCCCCCAGGATGTAAGTCTGGTGGGGTTCATCTCAGGCCCAAATGGAAGAGAGAGACAACTTTGGCAAAAGGCTTCCTTGTTCTCACTGACTTAGTAGAGAATCAGAGTCCTGTGCCAAGGTCAAAATATATTTAGCCAGCACCAGTTAAA